AGTGCGGAACTATAGGCTGGGGACGCCGTATTTCTGCTTCATCTGGAAGCCACCCTCATGCTAAGAGGCCGTGCTTTGCAGCGTCTGCGTTGCTGAAGCCGTGTTGCTTAGAGCTGTGGGATTCACTCTTCTGGATCACTGCCCTAAGCTGCAGGAGTAGGAGAAGCTTCTAGGCTGTGTTTTGATGTATAGAGTTGATGTGTCCAGCAACTCTCTGGCTGTCATGGTAAAGTAAATGTGAGTTTAGCGATGTTCAACAGATACAAACCTACCGCTTCAGTAACTGATGCCATTGTGCAGGTGTTAATGGTTAGGATGTAAAAATCGGAAACAAAAGCAGAAAATCAGATTATTTTAGGTGGGACAGTTAAACAATTAGATAAGTAGGTGCTAGCACTTAGAATTTAAGCTACCATACTTGTGTGGGACCGTGAATCTCTTAACGACTACAGGGATACATTTGGTTTTGGAAGAAAAAGAGGTGCAAATGACATTCTGTTTGCTGGCAGTAACCTAACAATCGTCGTACTTAATTTTTATACATTCAGACAGCCAAGGTAATAATCACTTTAAATGGGGGCATCTGTATGGGTTAAAGCAGAGCTTAAGTGGCTTTAGCCTATCAAGACTATAAGCCTGAGTACAAAGCTGCAGTGGCTTTTATTAAAAAAATCTAGCATATTCTTGACTAAAATGGGAGTAAGCTGTTCAGTGGTAAGTAAGGGAGAACAGAAGCTAGATGTACCTTTATAAAAGAAAAAAAGTCCTGATTTTTCTTTTTATTCTGTCTAGTTCTTGAATTTGAACGTGTTTATCTTGAAAATCTACCGTGTGCTTCAATGTATGAACGCAGTTACATGCACAGAGATGTCATTACACATGTAGCATGTACTAAGTAAGTGTCTCTTTTTTTCCCATTATATCTCATTGCCAGAGATGTATTTTTGTATGTGCTAGGAAGTTTTCATTGTAGAAATTTAATAATGGAAAGTTACTGTGTCCGGAGGTGGTGGTTTAAGTTTGGTGGGGGTTGGTTTGTTTGTTTGTTTCATTTGGTGTGGGTTTTTTTGAAAACTAAGTGCAAAGGAAAGGGGTTACAGAAGCAGAAGAAGCAAGATAAAAATTGTTTAAATAGACTACAAGAAGGTCTTAAAATCCTTATTGCAATGTGCAGTGTATACAGGAGTAAGAGCAACTGACTGCATCTGAACAAAATATGATTCAGCAGAACTGGACCAGTTGAGGAGATAGCTTTCTTCTCTTTTATATATACACACACCCATACATTAATAAACAGTAACTACTGGGAAATCAGACCTAAAATAGGAATAAAATTTACATAGTCAAAAGGGATAGTATTATACATTTCTTCAGTTCAGTCTGTTGACTTTTCATAGATTAATCCAGAGTGCATTAAAATACTTTTTTGCTTTTCTGGGAGTGATAGTACCCATTCAGATAGTTTGTCACAGTAATTTGTTTAAAGTTCATTCTCTAGAGAATTATTAATTATAGTGCAACTTACTGCCTCAGAGTGATACGAAAGTGCATAATATGTATATATTTTTGTTGTTGTTGTTTTTTTTTTCTTTTGTAGGACAGATTTTATCATAACAGCCAGTCATGATGGACATGTAAAATTCTGGAAAAAAATAGAAGAAGGGATTGAGTTTGTTAAACACTTCCGGAGTCACCTGGGTGAGAATTTGCTTTTTCTTCTCTAAAGGACCTCACTTTTTCCTCCCCCTTTGCTCTTACTCATGAGGAGGGAGGTTCTGGGATTCATTTACTGCAGTAAGGGGTTAAATGATACCTACCCAGCTTCTTCATTCCCCTATCCTGTTGTGTTTTGCTCCCAAACTGCAGGAGAGCTAGGGTGAGAATAAAACATGCAGGACTCCTCCTGCACAGATACTCTACATCCTTTGCATTGCCTTGTGCCCTGCCTGTGGGGAGAATGTCTAGGACATGAAGAAACTGTCTGTTTAAAAAAACAAGGTGAACAAGGTGCATGACAGGGTTTGTAAAATCCAGAGAATTTTAAGAAGATGTACTTTAAGTGAGGTTACCTTCATCCCTTATAATTTTTTTGTTTTGTTTTGTTTTCCCCTGCAGTATGGGAAAAATGGTTATTTTCATCTGGAATTATTTCAACTCTAGAGTAAATTCTGCATCATTGTCATGATTATCAGCTGAATTGCAATTAGGAATTAATAATTTTAACCCAGTTTTCTGAGTTAGTAAGTACACGTAGCTTTTCTATATTATGCTAAGCGTTAAATAGGCTGGGCAGAAAATGAGGTTCTCAATCCTATTAGAAATGATGATATGCCTGATGGGAAAAAAAAATCCCAGTTTGATATACAGACTGTTACAGTAAGAAAAATATTTAATAATAGACAGTAACAGTACTGTTTCTTTTTAGAGCTAGAAAAAATGTTATAGTGGGTTCTTGATCTTAACGATCGGCTTCTCATTATATACAGAAACAAAATGTGAGAACAAAGGCTACCAAGCAAAAATAAGTATTGTGAAAAACTTATGGAAGGCTCAACTGCAGAGCAATTTTGAGTAATATGTGTGTTAATAGCAGGACTGTAATATTCTATAGAGCTATTCTTTTTCTCTTTTGAGAGATGCAAGCTGAAAAGCACATAATTTTTTACCACACCATAATGTTGTTCTCATTTTTTAAAATTAACTTTTAAAATGAAAACAATTTTCATTATAATCTTCTGTTTATGTATACATAAACATTATCACATACTGATTCTAAACAGTGGTAGGATATAAAGTGTTGTTTTGTGGGTTTTGGTTTTTGTTTTTTATTATTAAAGTCAGGTAGCTTTTTAAGTCAAAAGGTGGAGAAACAGCTGAGAAACAGTTTTAAACCTCTTTAGGTTTTTTTCCCTGTGGAATATTGTAATGAAGAATGTCCCTTTCCTGTATCTTAATACACTATTAACTTTTTTAATAGGTGTTATTGAGAGTATTGCTGTTAGTTCGGAGGGGGCATTATTCTGTTCAGTTGGAGATGACAAAGCAATGAAGGTGTTTGATGTAGTCAACTTTGATATGATCAACATGCTGAAACTTGGGTAAGTTACTTAGTTCTTGAAAATGTTTGTTTGAGATTATAAATGGTGGTTATTTTGCTAAGACGTAACCCAATAATTTTGGGGTTTTTGAGGGTTTTTTCCCCCCAGTCACATGAACCTGAGTAAGTTTCATTATGTGTCCCGTGGCTGGAGACTGCCTGACTGAATAGAAAAAATTATGATTCTGTATGCAACAGTACATGAGTGGAATAGGTCTGTGCCTTTCCTCAGTGTCAAATATTAGGCACAAAATGTGATGTTTCTCAAAATACTTAGCGAGGCCTACTTTTTTCCTGTTGTTTGACACTGAATTTAAAATTTATAGCCAACTAATAATTCCCGTAGAGAAGGAATTTGGCCTGTATGTATTGTCATATTTGTTGTCATAGGGATAGAAATTTCCTTCTTCTGTTAGAAAAAATGTCGTTGTTTTCTTTTAGTCTTGCTGTTGTAGGATTTCTGTAGTTACACAGTATGTAGCTAAAGAATCTGGGAGAAGTAGGGATGGATTTTACTGGAATTACCAGAGGACAGAGACACCACCAGAGGAAAGAAAGCCCCACACTGTTACAAGGGTGGGTTTGGAGGGTTGGAGTATCAATGAATGCAGTACTAGGAGTGGTAGAAGTACTGGTTTTTCCACAGGCTTTTTAAAATTGGACAACTTCTTCCTCACAGTCTACTATTTGTCGGCTAATTGTGAAACGGAATAGAAGTGTAAACTCAAGGGGGGGAAAAAAAAAAGCTTGTTAGAATGCGTGTATAAAGCTTATGTTATCTGCTGTGCTGGTTATAGTTTTAGTATCATCCTCCAGATAATGTTCTTAGCCTATAGGAATTGATTCCCTCTTGGCTGTCTGCTGTGGAAAAATTCTAGTTACCCTTAGTCTGTTGTTTTTGTTGGTCTTTTCTAATTAGCAGCCCTGTATTGTCACTACAAAATTTGTAAAATTGTAGGATAAAATAATATTAATAAAAACTCCATTTGATGTTACAATAGAAGATGGTTTGGTTTTTTTTTTCTGTTTGAGAATTCAGGGAAAACTGAGGTAGAATTTAAATCAATTTTGTTTCCAGGATACCCTGAGAATGCTACCAATAAAATTTTTCTTTAGTATGTTCCCTGATTTATCTTTAAATAGATTTTTTTCAGTCTCAGTGATCAAGACCCACCTCTCCCCATATATTTTTTTCAAAGATAATTGGTTTTTACCTGAAGTGAACTCTTTAATGAAGAAGAGAATAGTATGCAACATAAGCATTGTCCTGAATAACCTTTTAAAACTTACTGTTTGTTGCTCTATCTTCTGCATTGCTGTTTATTGAACAGATAGTTTCTGTTGATCTGCCTGATAATTTTTTCATGGCTGTTTGCTCAGGCTTGCAATGGTTAATGTAGAATCAAGTTCTGTGTGGTCTTTTCAGCTTATTTTACCTTGTGTTGATAGGTGTGTGCTGGTATATTGCAGGGCTGATTAGCTTTGTCTTAAATTCTTCAGATCCTTTCAGTTCTAACTAATCTATACAGTGCGGCTATTTGCAAATACCTGTGCTTTATGCTTCTATCAATGATCTGGAGAAGGGTGGCTATTTCTACAGAAACTTTGGATGATGCATAGATCAATGGGACATCATGTTTATTTATGTATTTTTTTGATCCTATTCTTTCTAGTGAAACTGAGACAAAGTTCTGGTTATGTTCCTCTTTATGAGAACCTTTACCAGACAGGCATTGAAAATCCAAATTATTAGTGTCTGTCATTTGTCAGTCCTTCAGTATCTGTTAGTTTGATTTGTGAAAGGATACTAAATACGAGTTTCTTGTGGAGACTATATTGTTTCTTTGTGGTCTTTTAGTTTCTGAGTTCTGATTCTCAAAATCTTTTCTTACAGATTTCTTTAAAAACAGACATAACTTATATTATTGACCATATCTCTGGCTTGTTTTATTCGTAGAATATGGTTTTGCTAGTAGAAAATGCATTCCTTCTTAAATGCATTCAGGATGCTTATTGACTATAGGGTGATTGTCTTCGTTTTACTTACATTGCGTTTTGGTTTTGTTTTCCTTTTTGCAAGATCTAGTTGAACTTTTCTGTAAGTGTATAGCAAAGGTGCATGTTTCTTCATTTCCACTGAGGCATTAATCACTTACCAGATATAAGAGAAAGAGAATCATAGAAATTGAGTAGTAATCATTAATGCTACTTGTGCTATTTAGCTGGATTTCCATCCTCCTTCTTTTATACTCACCTTCTACTTTTGCTTTCTGACACAGCTTCTTTATAAAACAATATAGGAGCAAGCGAAATTGGCCAAGCCATCCACTGAATTGTGTTGTTTGGAAAAGTTTGGTTATAACACTGTTGAATTTTAGTAAATAAAGTTGAAAATTTGCTTCTGATATTTGATTTCAAGTTGATAGTATAACTTGATTGTTATCTAAGTAACACCAGTCCTTATTTCTTTTTCTTTTTTTTAATTTTTTTTTTCTCCTTCCACTGTTGTTGCAGCTACAACCCTGGCCAATGTGAATGGGTGTATTGCCCTGGAGATGCCATATCTTCTGTTGCAACATCCGAGAAGACTACAGGAAAAATATTCATATATGATGGACGAGGAAATAACCAGCCACTTCACATTTTTGATAAACTCCATACATCTTCTCTTACTCAGATACGATTGAACCCTATCTACAAAGTAGTCGTGTCTTCTGACAAATCTGGAATGATTGAGTACTGGACTGGTACTCCTCATGAATATAAATTTCCCAAGAATGTGAACTGGGAGTATAAAACAGATACTGATTTATATGAATTTGCTAAATGCAAGGCTTACCCATCCAGTATAAGTTTTTCACCTGATGGCAAGAAAATGGCCACTCTTGGATCTGACAGAAAAGTTAGGATTTTCCGTTTTTTGACTGGGAAGCTTATGAGAGTCTTTGATGAATCTCTGAGTGTGAGTTTGGTCTTGCTTCTCTTTTTTTTGAGGCTTTTTCTCTTCTTATTTGAATTTATATACCAGCACATTCCCCTAAGTTATCATCTGTTTCTATATTTTGTCTTACAGAAAAAGGTTTTTCAGGTTCTCTTACTTTTCTCTTGTATTGCTTTGCCCCAGAATTAATTCTTACAGATTTATGTTAATCATGCAGTTGTTGATTTTCATCTGTGTTTTTGTACTGCTAGATTTCTTTTTACTAGAAAGCAGTTGTGGAAAATGCATGTTTCAAATAGCATCAAAATAATGAATTAAATTTCTCATTTAAGAACTTTGTTAGACAGCTGCACACTTTCCTTTCTTTGCTTAAGCTTAGTACTACAACATGCCTGTTGCATCGTTAAAATAGAGTATTACTTGTATTTATTTTATCTCTTCAGTTAAGTTTGAGTGGAATAGTCTCACTTGAATTCTGTATTTTCTAATCATGTGGATCAGTGTTTTGCTGGATCAAAAGTTTAAAATATGTTCATGTAATAATGATTTTTTTTTTCTTTTTTTCTGTAGATGTTTACTGAACTTCAGCAGATGAGACAGCAACTACCAGACATGGAGTTTGGTCGACGTATGGCAGTTGAGCGTGAGCTGGAGAAAGTGGATGCAGTAAGATTAATTAATATAATTTTTGATGAAACTGGACACTTCGTTCTCTATGGAACAATGTTGGGCATTAAGGTCATAAATGTAGAGACTAACAGGTAAGTTCCAGTGACACACATTGGAATAAATATGTTTGTTTCAAAGTCTATATTCAGTCAAATTTATAGTGTATTTAAAACTTTATATGACTGTGTGGGTCTCTCATCTTTTTTTTGTTGTTTTTATTTGGGAGCTTTGCATTAAACTGTAGATAAGATACTCCCATGCTTTGTAATGAGTTGCAGTTTAATGCTTAGTAAAATGAGGAGAAACCATGGCAAGCATATTTGTATTACAAATGTGTAATCAGTGAATCTCTGACTAACTAGATGTGATAACATAAAGTAAAGGTGGATTATGCAGTTGGGATTTTACCATGTAAGGAGGCTGACTAGTAAATTATGTAGCAAGTTTGAATAGAGAAGCATCATAAAAACAGTTAGTAAATTATTTTGAGAGGGTTTTGGAATTCTGCTTTGTCTTGCATTCAGAAACGAGACATTCTCTGACTGTAACCAGCTAATAGTAATTACACCTTTTTACATCTTGTACTTCAGGTGTATTCGTATCTTGGGAAAACAAGAGAATATCAGAGTGATGCAACTAGCTTTGTTCCAAGGAGTAGCAAAGAAGCATCGTGCTGCAATCACTATAGAGATGAAAGCATCTGAAAATCCTGTTCTCCAGAATATCCAGGCAGATCCAACAGTAGTCTGCACAGCTTTTAAAAAAAATAGGTTTTACATGGTGTGTGTGGATTCTATTTAAATAACTCCATTTTTATACGGATGTTTTCTCTGCATTATTTTTTTCTCCGTGCACCTTTCCAGTGCTTTTTTTATCTTAAGTATTTGCAAACATAACTTTACCAGAGGACTCCTGTTATATTGCAAATATATTTTAGAATTTTTAGCTTGAAATAGCTATAAATTGACTAGAAACAGCTTTGCAGTCTTTAATTTTTTCATTATCACTCAAGCAGTCAAATAAACTTGGATGGTTTTGGCTCTCTAAATTATAGTTTTCTGAGAAGGGTATATGGTTTTGTTCGAGTTGAAAAAAAAAAAAAAAAACCACCTTAAATAAACCTAACCAGATCTTAAACTGATAAAGAAACAATAATTAACTGTCTAAAATACGTAATAAAAAATAATTAAATTCAGACCGGCATCAGGACTTGGTAGCACCAAGTACGTCATGAGCAACTAATTAAGACAGGAGTTATTTTCCTGTTCACAATGTAGATTTTGGGTGAGATACAATGAATTAGCCCAACAGAAGCAATTCCAGAGTAGTTAGTAGTTGATCTGGGATGTGATCACCATAGAGGTTAGAGATCTGTCTGTCTTTTGTTGTTATTTGTGCTTGAATTTGATCGTGTTTTCCATTGGAGCAAGATAGTGTGCTTTGTAAAGCTTTGTGTGGTTAGTGTGTAGTGTATAATGGAATGTACTACTCTGAACAATTTGACAAGCGAGGAGGAAGAGTTAGACAAAATCTGGAAACATTACTCACTGTTAGAGAAAACATGACTATGTGCATGCAGAAAAAGATTAGTGATTATTATTTGATATGTAAGTGTACTACTCACTGAAGTAGATGTTGATGTACTCATGTTTATTCTATGTTTTCCTCTAAGTACTATAAAAATCACATTTCTGAGATTTCTCCTGTTTTGAGTTAAATTTACTGGTTTTCTATAGTTTTGTATTCATGCAATCAGTTTGACTTTGTAGTGAAACTAAAACTTTTGTGATGAAACCTACCAGTTTTATCTGAATATAACAGAACTAGATACTCTCCATTTTTTTTTTTTAAAGAAAAGATGCTGAACTACTGTGGGCTTTCTCTTGAAAAGGGGAGGGAGTTTAAAGATAACAGATTATAAAAAGTTGCTTGGATTTGTATGTAGTTGTACTGGAATTTGTGACTGTGGAAATGCTAGTAACACACAACACTGAAATGCAAGGATAGACTGTCTATGAATTCTCTTTCTACATTTCAAAACTAGTTGGTGTTTAGCAGGTTGAATAATGACACTGTACTGATGCGTACAGAGCAGTGTGTAAGATATGGGGGAAAGAAGGAGAAAACCAGTTAACCTTCTGTTCTTTTGTTCTTCAGTTTACTAAACGTGAACCAGAAGATACGAAGAGTGCAGATTCTGACAGAGATGTATTTAATGAGAAACCTTCTAAAGAAGAGGTCATGGCAGCCACTCAGGCAGAAGGTCCCAAAAGAGTTTCAGACAGTGCCATCATCCACACAAGCATGGGAGATATTCATATTAAGCTTTTTCCTGTTGAGTATGTATTTGGTAGTTTTTCTGTTACTCTGTTTTTCCTTCATTCCGTGCTTGTTGGTGGCAGTATACAACACTTATATTTCAAAGTAGGAATAATTCTTTTCTTCCCCTCTTTCTACTGTCCTTGTTTCCTGACAGTTTCTTAATACATCAAGCTGGGAATGTGACTTTTGACAAAGACAAATAAAGTAGGGTAAAAATAGATCCAAGTAACAGTTGGGGATACAGGGGTTTCTTATGATTCTTGCTTTTATTTAATTACTGGTTTAGGGGGTTTATTCCTGTCTTAACTTTTGTTCATTGTCTAAACTGCAAATGTGGATAGGTCATGATGCCTCTTCTGTGTAAGCTACATATTATTGTAAGGCACGGCTGTTTGGTTCTGTCTTGAGAAAGAATGATGGTGTTGGCAACAGCAATAGGTTTTGCAGTAGGTCTGTGTAAGCCAGAGGAACAGTAGTTTGCTCCTTCAAGAGCAGCATAAAATTTATACCAGCATATGATGATAGTGCTGTGTATATCCAAAACCAGGCATATAATTGAAAAAGAGTTTTTATGCATAACAATTGCTAGTTACTGTGTCAGCATCTCTCTTTGTGATCATAGAATCACAGAATGGTTTGAGTCAGAAGGAACCTCAAAGATCATCTAGTTCCACCTCCCCTGCCAGGGGCAGGGACACCCTCCACTAGACCACGTTGCCCAAAGCCCCATCCAACCTGGCCTTGAACACTTCCAGGGAT